GTTCAGTATCATTTTACCGACTAGTTCACGTTTATTTGAGGACCATTTTGAGACTAGGTCAGGAACATTTGGGTCTAGCACCAAGAAAATTTCATGACTACCTGGTACTCACGGATTTTTTGTTTGTTTATTATTTTATTTCTTAATTATTTTTACGTTTATGAAGAATGCTCTTTAATAAAATTTTGTCGTATATTACATTTGGCAACAATTTTACAGACATGTTTTATGACATTGGATAAATGTGATAGAAATTTGAAAGATCTTCATTAATTTTGTATAACTGCATTATTTATTAATCGAATTTCGCTCAGTTTTCATATACATAGGACGTTTATTTATCCTATACGTATATATCAGGCCTTGAGGCAGAGTCACGTAGGTGCAATGAACTTTTTAATAAAAGACCGCATTTATTTTTTTCTTTCTCATATTAATAAACATTTTTTTTTTCGCAAATAGGCTCCTCTGGTCCTCATGGTCTCATATGTATAGATATTATTTTAAATATACTTTCATTTTTTTCCACAGAAACGCCAGCACAGTGTTGCGCAGCTTTGGTATGGAAAATGGAAATTTCGGAATGAATATATTTATCATGATTTTACAGTTGTCAGCGTTCAAAGGACTAGCTTACATTATGTTGAAGCGGAAGCTGCGAGCGTAAATTATTAACATATGTACATGTGTCCATTAGGGTGAGTCAGCGAAAAAAAAGTTGCGGCTTTTCCGCCGGAATTATAAAATATATTATATTTTAAGACTTACGCCACAAAAAATATTTCGGAAGTATATAGAGATTTACGTGAGCTGAACTGATTTGAAAATACCATCAAAAATCTCATTACATATTTTGGTTATGTTGATACAAATTTTCAAAATTTTTATGCAGACCTTTACAGGCGGCATACACGGTGCGCGTCTGACTCGCGAGTCGGTTTGGATATGTTAGTGAAAATAAATATGTGTTCGTTACACCGACATGACTCTGGCATGACTCTGAATGACTCAACTGTGTGTAGTCGGAAGACGAGTCAACACGTACACAGATGACTCCCGAGTCAGACGCACCGTCTATGGGGCCTATTAAGCTTAACTGCCTTAACGATTCGTCTGTCGTTTGTCGTCTGTCGTCTGTCGTCAGTCGTCTGTCGTCTGTCGTCAGTCGTCTTCGTCTTGCTTTTCATATAGTAAGTTGCAATGGTCTCGGTTGCGTTTAATCCGGCTAGAATAATGCCGCCGGCCTAATTTTTGATGCATTCCTCTGCAGACGAATCGTTCGTGTTGTCTATCGGTCGTTATGCAGAATAAGACTGTAAATTCTTTTATCAACTGACGTAATTTTTTAGAAACTTTTTAAAATTAATTTTATTTACAAAAAACTCGAATTTCGGAAGTATTTTCAAGTCACCCAGCTCACGTAAATCTTAATATGTTTTCATTTTTTTTTTGGGCGGCAGTCTTAAAATATACTAGATTTTATAATTATGTTGAAAAAACAGTAAAGGTTTTTTAGTATGAATGGTGATGCACCCTAATGTACAAGCATAAAAATACATACTTAGAGCTAAAATTTTATATTTAATACACTACGCACATAGTTATGTGCATATGTAACTTAAGGGTTACCATAAACATATTTTTATATTAAATAATTAATCGGTGTGTTGTACATATAAGGCTTACAGCTAATTTCACGAAAGCAATTTAAATTTCCCCATTTAAATTGCTGGTGAAACAGGCTGTTTAGTATAAGTAAAATTAGTTAAGAAATATGCTAGAAAATGAAACAGAAAAAAAGTTGTTTTTAAGAACTGAAATAATGTGAATATTTAAAATATTGCCGAACCAGCCAAAAATTAGTTACAAAGAGAACGATATTCTAAAAAAGCGATGCCTATGCGAAATAATTGTGCACATAACTAAATACAAATACAAAAAAGCAAAAATTAAAAAGAAATCACATGTCCAGCCAGTCATTATATACAAAACATTTGCTTTATTAAGAACATTTTTTTTTAGAACAAAACATGCCGCAAAATCAGTAAAGCGTTTTACAAATGCACAATATACTTAAATACAAAAAATTATGTGTGATAGTATTATAATACATAACAGTTACATAAATTAAATAAATATTTACAAACACAAATAACTATATGTACAGTATGTACAGTATGTGTGTGTATTTATATATTTTGGTGTAACATTTACAAAACACAAAAATTAAGAAAAGAGCAAGACACTTGTGCATGCTTATATATTAAATAATAGTTTATGTGATATAAGACGTTCGTGCCTACATACTTATTGCATATATAATTACATTTTTGCATATATGTAAATATCTACTTATACATATTTATCATATACGAGCGTGTACAATTTTAAAGTACATATGTACATACATACTTATGTATGTATTTAGATGCAAGCACAATTCCATGCAATTTTTTATTCAGCAGATATGGAAGAATTTGTTACATAAGATTGCAAACGAGTAAAGTTAAGTGATTGTAAGAAGGCAGTTTAAGTTATATTTTTATCTGCACGCAAATGTTAAGCGAATGAATAACGATGAAATACATACATACATGGAAAAAATAAAACTTTAACCAATTGCTGTTTTATTTCAGTACCTAAGTTGGTGTCATATTTAGCTGTTCCTCTATGTACAATAATAATAATAACAATATTTTGGCGCTTACATTTTTTCCTAAGCTGTGGCCGAGTTTCTCCTCCAATATGTATATGAGGTGCGTCTTGATGTTCTTATACAAATGGAGGGACTTACAGGTTTGAGCCGCCTCCGGACGTCGAATGGTTGGTATAAGAAACTTTTTTAATGCCAGAAATAAACTCGGAGGTTTTCCATTGCCTGCCGACGGGGCGACGGCTGGTAGAAGAAACGTTTCTAATTTAGATGTTGCTCAGACCAGGGTTTGAACCCAGATTATGCAGAGTTGTGGTATGTACCTCTAACCTTTCTTCCTCCCTACTGGTACAATTTAAAAAACGAAAACTGGCTGCGTCTTCTGAAGTTACATAGGCGATTGTAGAGAGGTATATGGTTTGTTAATATGAGGTCCAGGGTTGCTGATAGCTGCTTCGGGCGGTACTGAAAATACGTGAATAGTATATTTTCTGGTCTTGATGGACGAGCTATTCACGAGACAGAGAGTCGAACGAAAATCGGACTACGATGTATTCAGCGATAGCCCAGAATAGATTGGCGCTTACACAAATCTGTAATGTTTGTTGTGCGCCTTGATATTGGGGAGGGGCCTACAGTTTTACGACGGCTCCGAGCGACGATTGTATTTTTATGAGAAGCTGTTTTTCATGGCACAAATGACCTCGGAGGTTTGCCATAGTCTGTCCAGGGGCGACCGCTATTATAAAAATACTTGTTCTTTTCTGTTGTTTTTAATGTTAGTCGGAAACTGGGGTCGATCCCAGTCCCTGCGGAATGGGGGGTACGCGCCTCGATAAAAAGTTCAAAGGCTAAAATAAATTCAAATTTTTGTTACCAGTTTGTAAGGCTAATCCTACTAAGTATAGTAGCTGGAATCATTCTTTCGAAGGAAGCACATTTTGTGCACATTAGTGGAACCAGGCCAAAACTCACCTTGATAAGATTGTTGTGCGGATTTTTAACACCAGAATATGTATATACAATTTGGCGAAAGTGTTCACTTTATACATCAGAAAAGTTCAAGAAGTAGTAATAAGTTAAGTTGTGTTCATTTAGTCCATTTATTTGCCGGAAATTCATAAAAACAAAACCGACTTCACAAAAAGGAGAGGGTTATCTATTCTTCGGAATATCTTTTTTTATGTATGTTATCGCATAACTTTGGACCACGTTAGCCGATTTCTATACTATTCGGTTTAAATCCGATCATTGGATCAGGAATAAATTAACGATAATCTTAAATTTTTATATGAGAATTGAAGTCGATTTTGTTTTTTGCTTAAAAATTACTTGTTTGCAAATAACTTTCAAATAAATTTTAAGTTAATTCCCGCTTTCGGATTATTCAGGCAGGTTCTTGAATTCAAATTGGCAGGGGTTGAAATTCACCTGATCAAAACCGGAAATTGAAAATACGGAAAGATATTTGAGATTACAAGTTAAACCGGCATTTAAGTAGTACTAATTAACTTACTATCTTAGAACACACTACATCTAACAATTTTATATTGCATGCTACACTAATAAATAACAGAATTAATAAGCACTTTATTTTGCCAATTAGTGCAAAATTAATAATAATGAAAACGTACAGCGGAAATGTGATTTGCATATTAGCAAATTTGAAAAGCCTAATGGGAGCAAAAAGTTGCCGTACCTAGAAAAAATAATCCAGTCTGCGCAAGCCACGAAATTGTAATAGAGTAAGTTTTAAGAGGAAACATAAAAGGGGTCTTCATCTAAAGTGATAAAGGGATAAATTGCTTAAATTTATCAGTTTAACCGCCTTCTTTCATTAACGCACCTTGGTAAATAATTGCATAAAACTGTTTATTATTTAACTTATATGGCTAGTTACGTTTCATTCTTACCTCGTCCATTGTGTTCATTTGCTTTTATGTGTTCGTAGCCAAAGAGACTACCTGGCAACCTGTTGGGGTTGAATTTTGCTGAAATTTATACATTTATCCAACAAAGCCGTTTGATAAAGTGATAAACTTTGGTTAAATAGATTTCCATTCAAAGTTTGACAGTTCATTCATCAAAACGATACATTTATCACTTTATGAAGTTTATCAAGAGCTTATCACTTTTGATGAAGATCCCTAAAATCAATGTTATTATTAATTTTAAGAGAATGTAAATATTAAAACCTATAACTTTGCCACTTGCTTTCAGTTGAACTTAAGTTCTTGATACGTGTAACTTCCAAGTTATTCAAAATTTTTTATATTTTTTCTGCCCTAGTATACATGCATGGCAACACCATATATGTGCATTTACTTTGAGCTATTACCTTACATCAGCTGTCAATTTATTACAACAACAAATGTCAAATAAACGAAAGCGGTGCAAGAGGATTTTCACGGAAGTTGGAGAAAAAAATCTATTTTATTGAAAAGGTTCATATTTAGAACAAATAATCATGTTCAAAACTAGTTTTGAAAAAAATCTGGGTAAGCCTAACCTACAGCTAAGCAGTTGTTATGTAAATTGCGACAAATGGGGAAGAAAATGACTCATCCGATGCAATGCACTTTCTATAAAATGCAAAGCACAAAAAAACAACGAGGGTGGTGGGTCAGCGGACTACATACAACCTTTGTTGCTATAACAGAATAACATCAATTGGCCACAAATGTTTATGAACTTATTGATGTTTTAAATTTTTCATTTTCGTATTGCAGAAAACGCAACCAGCCACCTGCGGCTGGAGCCCGATTGGCCATCAATTCTAGTAATTTGCGATGAAATCAACCAAAAAGACGTCACGTAAGTGCGAAATACGCAGATATAATACCACTTTTACATATGTATATCTATACCTCTGTATATGTACATGTACTAATTTCTTTTCTTTGTTTTCGCGTTTTTAAGGGCCAAAAATGCTTTTGCTGCAATTAAGAAAAAAATGAGTTCACCTAATCCACATTCGGCTTGTTATGCGCTCTTGGTATTAGAAAGTATTGTGAAAAATTGTGGTGCACCCGTACATGATGAGGTCTTCACGAAGGAGAATTGCGAAATGTTTAGTAATTTCCTGGAGCAGACCCCGCATGAGAATGTACGTCAGAAAATGTTGGAATTAGTGCAGACCTGGGCGTACGCTTTTCGTTCGACCGACAAGTATCAGGCAATAAAGGTGAGCATGCATGTAGTAGATGTGAATGTTTGTTGAGCAAACGGAAGAAAGTATGTATAATATAAACATGCGAATGAAGCAAAGAACACAAGCAAAAAATGTAATTAAATTAGCGCATTTTTTGCATTCGCAATTACACATTTCATTGCTTTGTTATAAAATCGTATTAATTTTTACTCAAAAAATGAGTTCCGAATCAGAGTTAAGCCTAGAAGAGGAAGTAAGTTTTAGTGCTGTAGAAATTGCTAAAATGCTCAAAAAATTGTCTCCTTCAAGGATACCATGACTATATTGAAAGCCAAGGGACACACTTTCCCCGAGTTGAAGGAAGCTGACGCAATGTTCACTGCCGATACTGCACCTATATGGTCGGATGGTAAAGTGTGCCATCGTTGTCGTGTTGAATTTACATTCACCAATCGGAAGCATCACTGCCGCAACTGTGGACAAGTGTTTTGTGGGCAATGCTCGGCTAAGCAATGCCCACTGCCCAAATTTGGTATTGAAAAGGATGTATGTATTTCTTGCGTATAGAAGTTTAAGCTATTATTAACTAAAAAAATGTTTCTCGAATAGGTGCGCATTTGCGATGGCTGCTATGCCATGCTACAACGACCGAATGCGAAACCAGCGCTGCGTGCTGCTGAAAGTGACTTGCCGGCCGAATATTTGAACAGCTCGCTTTCACAGCAAGTGCAGGTGTGTGTCACTAAGAGTCAAAGTAGATGTTAATAAATTACTTTTTAATAAATCCTTTTGCAACTCCTTTTTGTATATAGACGCCGCCGCGCAAAAGTGAGCAAGAACTAAAGGAAGAAGAAGAGCTGCAATTGGCATTAGCGCTGAGTCAGTCGGAAGCCGAAGAAAAAAAGAAGCAAAAGCAACAAACTGTGAGTGAAGTGTTATCTTATCGGGCGACCGAAAAACAAAGAAAACTTGTTTAATTCAAAGCAAAATAATTATTATTTTTTTTCATTATAGTCATTGGCTGCCTATCGTTTGCAACAACGTTCGCCCAGTCCAGAGGCACCCCCAGCTCCGAAAGAATATCAGCAGGAAGAAACCAATCCAGATTTAGCTAAATATTTGAATCGCTCTTACTGGGAGCAAAGAAAAGTAAACGAATCTCCCTTAGCAAGTCCATCAGCACCAAGTCCGATGCCGACCCCACAACCGCAACAGGCACCAACTCAGCCGAAGGTGATTATCAATAATTACATAAAGAGATATAGTTTACTAATTCAAATGATTTTCACTTTCAGCCTGCTGATGAGGTACAAATTGACGAATTCGCTGCTAATATGCGTACACAGGTTGAAATGTTTGTGAACCGAATGAAATCGAATTCCAGTCGAGGTCGCAGCATTGCAAATGATTCGTCGGTGCAAACACTTTTTATGAATTTAACATCGTTGCATTCACAGCAACTTTCCTACATCAAAGAGATGGATGACAAGCGCATGTGGTATGAGCAGCTACAGGATAAGCTGGCACAAATCAAGGATTCGCGTGCCGCTTTAGACGTGTTACGCCAAGAGCATGTAGAGAAGCTGCGTCTCATGGCCGAGGAGCAGGAACGTCAACGACAAATCCAAATGGCACAAAAATTGGAGATAATGCGACAGAAGAAGCAGGAATATTTGCAGTATCAACGTCAACTCGCATTGCAACGCATAAATGAGCAAGAACGCGAGATGCAGTTGCGCCAAGAGCAGCAGAAGGCACAATATCTCATGGGTCAGACCGCTTTCCCCTTTATGCCACCCGGTGCTGTTGCCGGCCCACAAGGCTCACCCTCGCATCTAATGAATAATGTTTACAATCCATACGCCTTTCATCCAAATTCTCCAGGGCCACTGAGTGCAGGCGGTGGTGCTCAATATAATGTACATGGCGGCATGATTAATGCAAATGGTGCACCTCCTATGGGTGGACCCAATGCCATGCAGCCGGGCATGTATGCACCAGGCGGAGTATTGCCAAATCAACCGAATCAACAACATCCAGGCATGATGCTGCAGCAGGGCCCAGTGCCAACACAGGGTATGCTGCCAGGTGCGCCACAAATGGGTGAAGGCATGCAAGGTCAGTGTGTTTTGCGAATATTTCGAAAATTCTTTTTGCACTTTTTGTTGGACACCTCTAAATTGCTGCTTATCGTGTATGACAAATGTAGATGAGTTTCAAATTCAATTTCGTTTCCATTTCAGTTCAACAACAACCACCAAACACGGGCTTGGGATCATTGACACTGCAACAACAGCATTTGCCGGTTCAGCAACAACAACAGCAACAGCAGCACATGCAGCAGCAGCAGCCACCGCCGCAACAACAGCAGCAGTTGGCTCATGTAATGTTACAACAACAAAATGTCTTGCAAAATCACCCACCCATACCAACGATGCCACAGCAACAGCAACAGCAGCAGGTTGCACAACAACAGCAGGTTACACAACAACAGCAAGTTACACAACAACAACCATTACCACAACAACCAGCGCACCAACACCAGCAACCGCCTGAACAGCAGCAGCAACAACAAGCACAGATACAAGCTGTTGCTGCTGCGCCCGCACCACCACAAACGGAACCAGAGCCGGCGGCACCTGAGGAACCCGCCACTGCGGAGTTAATTAGCTTCGATTAATTGTCTTTTTTTTTAATATTTTAAATGTTACTTGTTCTCAAATCGCATGCAAAATGTATCATTCCTTGAGCAAAAATGTAATGAAATATGAAATTTTGATCACTTTTAAGTTATTATTATACTATTATTTTTTTATGGGTGCAAACTTTTTAAAAAATAAGAAATATGTACTGTATTGATACTGGCGTAGTTAATATGTAGACACATAGTATTTGCCGATTTCATAACATTTAAGTTGCATCCTTAATTCAAAACTTTGGAAACTACTAAAATAAGCAAATACTACTAGGGAAATAATATATATATATACATACATACATATATGATATTCGAAAACGATAAAAGGTTGTTTATTCAATGGATAAAATATCGGACGTCTCAGCAGAAAGAGTGGAAGCTTTAGTAGGGCCACTCCGTTGTCTCCCGAGGTAGTCAAAGCTCTGTCTCGTCCACGTCAGGTGGCTGCAGAGCTCGCAAATAACTATTGACACATTTCTCCAATGCTGTCTGCTCACTAGCAAAACAGAAAAAACGAAGCATACTAGTTCTCGTACTGCGCAGAACCCTTTCTCTTCGCATGTGTTATCTGTTTTGTATTTTCGGTTGAGTAAAGCTCATGAAGGCTTACAGTAATAACTTAAAAATACAGATTTTATCGAACGCACACAAAGCAACTGTCTGCAACTGAGCAAAATACAAGAAGTGTGTTCGAAAAGTGTCTTTTTTCTAGGTATGCAGTTTTTTAGCCTATTAAATTTTAGTACAATAAGGAACAAGTTCGTGCATGTTCTTCCGTACTAAATATGTTCGACAATTTTTTTGTATGGAGAAAATTAGCAAAACATTTGAAGAAGTACTTTTTTTCGGACACTTTGCAAGTCTCAACAGTTGTTTGCGAGCTCTGGGTGGCTGTGTTCCCACAACGGCATTCACAGGCCGGGAGTCGGTGTAAGAAAGGTACGACTCCCTTTGGATGCCGTTTATGGCTGGTCGGTAAGCTGTCGGGACCAGAGAGACTTAGTCCGTCAGTTCGTATACATGCCTTTTGACGTGCCTAGGCGAGGACTCTGCTATGCTGCAAGAAGTCTGTTCGGGTGCCCACGTCGGTGACACCCTACTAAGAGCATCGTGTTGTGCTCTTTCCCCTGGAGCATTTGAGCCTCGTCGTGAAGGTGTTGCGTGGCGACATCAGAAGGCATCCAGTTGCGTTCCGGAGTGCCGTGTTATGGCATGTCTGTAGCATCATCCACCGCATCCTCCTAGTCCCCGACGACCGCACGGGCGCTGCATAGTACAGAACCGACCGGTCAATTGCCTTGTATGTTGCCAACAACGTTTCTTTTTCTTTGCCCTGGGTGCTACCGGAGATGTAATAATTAAACAGCAGCGGGGAAAGGACACCGCTCTATGGTACCCCGTGTTACATTTTTTTCAGTTTGCTGGTTTTATCCCTGAATCGCTGATCACCGTTTGAGTTTCAGTGGGAGAGATGAAGTCTCAATGTCGTCTAGTAGCATGGATTGGCTGACGGTGTCAAACGCCTTTGACAAATCCGACGCCACTAGGACGGTTCTCTCACTGAAGCGGTTTTGGTTCAGGCCACGAGTTATCTGGGTTTTATGGCGTTAAGTTCTGTTATTGTGATATGCACTTTACAGAACCCATGCTTATGCCTCGCTGGGGTTAGGTGGTTCGTATAGTGCGGGAGTAGCAAGTCCTGGAGTGTCATCGCTACCGCGAAAAGGAGGGTTATAAAACGATAAGGTTCTCCTTTGTTTGCCGGTTTCCTCGGTTTAAGCAGTGGGAGCACCAGCATGCATATTCCGTCGAGGCCAATGGCTTTGGAGATTTTCGCCTTCCCGATTACTGCCTAAACCTCACCGCTGGTGAAAGCATAAGGCGCATTGGGTGTTGGCAGTTTGTGCAGCCTTCTGGTCGCTCGACGATTGGCTTTGTCCTCAATGTCGTCGCACTTCGTCGGATTGGACAGTGACCTCACGGTTGTCCAAAGCTTACTCACACCAGAGGTGAGGTTACCAGTCTTCAGATGCTTTTCCCACTTTTTCGCTTATGTAGGTTCACAAGTTGCCTTCAATCTCATAAGGTCTATCTAGTTTTTTGTTCTCACTAAGAAGACGGGACTGCAGACAATTTTAAGGATTGCTGACTGGCTACTTCACGTGATAGGCGTACATGACAACTTCATTTGCCCATCCTGCCTTGAAGAGGATGAGACGGTGGAACACTTTTTGTGCTTCTGCCCGCCTTTGCAAGAATTAGGTGTTAGACATCTGGGCGCGATGTGTTCAGAGACGAAAACCTGAGCTCTTTGACATCTGCTTAGGTATATTTGTAAATCGTGCAGATTTAAAAACGATTAAAAGGGACACGAAAACAGTACAATGGACAGCATGTAGTCTGAGTGTTGTTTTCTGCACGCTGCACGCGTTGTTTAGTGCCTGGTTCCGACAAAAAAAAAGTTCACAAATTTCCGCATCTCCGCGTTGAGATCCCTAATACGTGGACTTCCTGGGTCGGCCTGACGAATGTTGTCACGCACATCGGCTAAGACAGCACTTCAGCTGGAAAATTAGGGCGAGTTTCCAAAATGCATCCAGCTGGGAAAAAGTGGGCTTTAGCAGCAGTGACAACTACACGTGCATATGTCTTCTAGTAGCACGTCTATAGCTATTCAAACTCGGTGATCTGGCCAAGGACTGTTACTCCAGCAGATGCCCCAAAAACTCCTTGGTGAATTTTTATGGTGTTATAACATCAACAACAACACCAAGAGAGGCGCTGCAGGCCAGGCAGACGCGAGTGCGAAAAGCTAGAGATGCTTTCGGATAGGAAAATTTTCTGAAATGTTTGCCAGAAAGTAAGTAGGCTTTAAGACCAGAAAATAAAATCAAATTTTTGTTTTTTTTAAATTAATTTTTGCTTAGAACGCAAAAATAACTTCTGCTGTTTTCTCTAAGAAAAGGTAGTTAGATGAAAAATCGTGAAATAAATATCATCAAAGGTAAATATGTCACTCTTAAATGTAAGGACTAGTTCTAAGGCTAAGACCAAACCAAATGAAATTCCAAAGACAAAGACGAATGAGATTACGACGGCGAAGAATAAGACGAACACGTTCCACGACAGCCGGTTCTACGTCATTCCCACGACAGCCGGTTCTACGTACCGGAATGACTCGGGTTT